CAGAAACTTATCCATCAGGCTATTAAAGGACTTGAAGGCACGGCAGCGTACCTAGATGGTATTGTTGTGGTGTCTGATACTTGGGATCAACACCTACTTAGACTTAAGGCTCTTTTTGAGACCTTTCAGAGTTCCCATTTAACAGTTAATTTATCTAAATCTTCCTTTGGCCAGGCCACTATCACTTTTCTAGGCCATGAAGTAAGTAGTGGTAAAGTTGCACCTAAACTTGCTAAAGTTCTTGCTATTAAAGATTATCCAGTTCCCCATGATAGGAAATCTCTTCAACGTTTCCTAGGCATGATAGGATTTTACAGAAGATTCTGTAAGAATTTCTCAGATATTGTAGCCCCTCTTACCTCTCTTACCAGTCACAAAGTTCCCTTTAATTGGACCCCAGATTGTCAACAGTCTTTTAACAAAGCAAAAAGAATATTGTGTACTGCACCCATTCTTTTGTCTCCAGACTTTCCAAACCTTTTTCATTACAGGTTGATGCTTGTGAGTCTGGGGTTGGGGCAGTACTATTACAAAACGAGAATGAGGAGTTGCAGCCTGTAGCTTATTATTCTGCTAGTTCCAGCCGCATCAGAGGGCTTACTCTACCACTGAAAAAGAAGCCCTCGCGCTGGTACTGGCTTTGGAGCATTTCGATGTTTATGTGGGCCAGACATCGCAGGTGGTCACCCTCTACAGTGATCACAATCCTCTAGTATATCTCCAAGCCATGAAGAACCACAACACAAGGCTCATGCGTTGGGCTATACGACTGCAACCCTATTCTATCAGAATTAAATGCAGTGGACCCTCAACCAGCGATATTAATCCGTTCCTGAGAGCTCATCGTTAATCGAAATAATCGTTAGTCAAGTTAATTTTCCCCATAAGAAATAATGGAAATCAAATTAATCCGTGCAAGACACCCCGAAGTATTGAAAAAAAAAATTTTACCACATGAAATATTAATTTTAATACACACAAACTGAAGAAGACATGCACAGTTACATGACACTTACCTTTATTGAAGATCTGGTGATGATTGATGGGATGGGAGGAGGGGAGAGCATTGATCTTCTTAGTGTTTAGAAGGGGAATCCCCTTCCATTAGCACTTGAGGTAGCAAGTCTTTTTCTGGGGTTAGTTCCCTTGTTCTTTTAATGCCACTAGGACCAGCTTCAGAGTCACTGGACTTCTGTTGCACAACATGTCTGTCCATAGATACCTGTACCTCTCGTGGTTCACAACATTGTCAGTGTACAGGTTGCCAACACGGCTTGCAGTAGCTGTGTCAGGGTGATTTTCATCAATAAAGGTTTGCACTTCAAGCCACTTTGCACACATTTCCTTAATCTTTGAAGTAGACAACGTCTTCAATTTCTCTATCCCCTCCTCCGAAGCAGTTTCCTCAGGTCTGCCCTCTTGCTGTTCAAGATGATCTAGCAGCTCATCAGTGGTTAGTTCTTCATTGTCCTCCACCACCAACTCTTCCACATCCTCCCCACTAACCTCCAACCCCAAGGACTTCCCCAATGCCACAACTGATTCCTCAACTGGCATAGGATTCTCAGGGTTAGCCTCAAACCGTTCAAAATCCCTTTTGTCTACACATTCTGGCCACAGTTTTTTCAAGCAGAGTTCAAGCTCCTCTTAGTCACTTCCTCCCAAGCCTTACCTATAATGTTTACACAATTGAGGATGGTAAAGTGATCTTTCCAAAACTCTCTTAGAGTCAGTTGAGTTTCTGAGGTCACTACAAAGCACCTTTCAAACATAGCTTTTGTGTACAGTTTCTTGAAGTTGGAAATGACCTGCTGGTCCATGGGCTGCAGGAGAGGAGTGGTATTAGGAGGCAAAAACTTCACCTTAATGAAGCTCATGTCCCTAGAAAGTCGCTCTGCCAAGTCTGAAGGATGACCAGGAGCATTGTCTAATACCAGGAGGCACTTAAGGTCTAATTTCTTTTCAATTAGGTAATTTTTCACATTGGGGGCAAATGCATGGTGTAAAAAGTCATAGAAAAAGTCCCTAGTGACCCATGCCTTACTGTTTGCCCTCCACAGCACACACAAATTAGCCTTGACAACATTGTTTTTCCTAAACACTCTGGGAGTTTTAGAGTGATACACCAATAAAGGCTTCACTTTGCAATCACCACTAGCATTGGCACACATCAACAGAGTAAGCCTGTCTTTCATAAGCTTATGTCCTGGGAGTGCCTTTTCCTCCTGAGTAATGTACGTCCTGCTTGGCACCCATGGGACAAGTGGGACGCGCTCAGGCCAAAGTGGACGTGTCTTGAACGGAACGAATAGCGTTGGTCAGGTTTTTAAGCGCTAGTCGAGGCAAAATTTTTGCGTTAAAATGTATCGCTAGTCAGATTTATCATTAATCGATGCCATCGCTGGTTGAGGGTCCACTGTATATTGCCGGCAAAGAAAATATGTTGGCAGACTCTTTATCTAGTCTAATTACATTATTTACTTAGGTTAGGATGTTAGGTTACTTGTGGTAACCCCTTTCAAGCTCTTTTTATCCCCTGGTGTGGGGTTTTTTTTTAGTGAGGGGATGCGGGCTACCGTCCGCCTGTATCTTGGACCTATGCTAGCCCGACTGACTGCTGTCTCACTCTGAGTTTAGGGTTTGGCTTTTTGTTATGAGAAAAGCTGAGCTCTATCTAAGAGTTGGATGGTGGAGAGGAAAGGCGGTCTCATTATTTTGTGCCATGGCAGCACGGTTACCACTGGGAGGTGGCAGCCTAATCCTGAGCCTTCTCGGGGTGGGGGTGTGGCATGCAAAGAGTACGTAACCTTTATTCGGCGCATGTACACACCCTCATTTACAGGCTATCTCCCCCAACCAGCGAACCAGGTTGCTGAGAGTTGATGATGGGGCCCCGTCATTCAACTAGTGACCAGGTTCCAGCCAATAAGAAGATGGTTTTGGCAATCGCAGAGGTTATGTGGGTACCACTCTCCTGTCTGCCCTTGTCATTCCCATTCTAGAGCTGGTTGAAGCACGGTCTGCTCTCTTGTGGCTTCTATTTCTGCCTTGCTTACCGTGGAGTGCACTAATACTTATCACTGTACAGTGTGTACATATTGCTGTTCTAAATTGGTGAAGGATAATACAAGTCTAAACTTTTTCTGCTGTGTTTATTTTGCTCCCTTTACACCCAGGATAACAGGCCATTTGGATTCCTGGGTTGTAATACCGGTTAACCGGACTCGGGTCCTAGAGATGGGAAGTACAATACATGTACCTGCACTCTGAATGAGGGGTTTGGGATACAGTAAGGCCTCGCTTTTTGGTGTTTCGCCTTACAGCATTCCGCTAATACGGTGATCTCAAATTATGACCAAAACTTTCTATACAGCAAGCGGTCTTTCAAATATGGCTTGGGCCACCCGGTTTGTTTACATTCTCCAGGAGTACATCTCTCTATTATGTAATAATAATCGCTCCTAGGCACATTAAATGTCTAATTTTACGTCAATATAGACATTTTCATTAATCCATCTATGATATTTTCTTCAAAATAATATAAGAAACACGTTACATAGCATATAAACATTTTATGTTTATATACTATGGAGGTGTGGTAACCAGGCGGAGAGAAAAACATTACATCACTCCCCTTAATACATAACATTTTTGTTTACAATTCTTGGCATGAATTATTCATTACCTCTCCTTTTGTTTATGATGGCATTTAAAGGTAGTTGTTAGAAATGATTAAACTCAGTGAGCATGGTATGCCGATGGTAATAATATGGCTCTAGGCCGCTATGTAGGTAGGTGTAGGTATGTAGCCCAAGCGGACTACATACCTACATTATTATTATAACTGATAATTATATGTATGTGTACCTGTACCTAAGTAGTATGCCTTCACTCAAGGCGTCATTTCTTCTAAAAATAATGTTACATATGAATGGGAGTGTTACTCTTTATTTATTCTACTATATCAACGTGGAGACAACTTGTACACAATGTAGTGACCAAAACCAGACGCATTCGTCTAGTTTGTTTACATTACGTGTGGGTGGGGTTGGGTGGGGAGTGCTGTCCTTCCTGGATACCCATACTTCCCAACCTGACCATACAAATAAAACTCACCTCTCACCCTACATTAAGACTACAAATATTTTAAGGTAATTAATGAATGTGCTGTATATGTATTTTATCGCTCTAGGGAGCTTTAATTAAATATCATAGTACATTACGTGTGGGTGGGGTGGGGAGGGCTTCCCTGGCTGGATTCCATACTTCCCAAACCTGACTTCGTACAAATAAAACTCACCTCTCACCCTACATTAAGACTACAAATATTTTAAGGTAATTACTGAATGTACTGTATATGTATTTTATCGCTCTGGGGAGCTTTAATTAAATGTAGTATACGTATTATGTGTGGGTGGGGTGGGCTGACCTGGCTGGCTACCATACCTCCCAAACCTGACTTCCTAAAAATTAAACTCGCCTCTCACCCTACATTAAGATTACAAATATTTTAAGGTAAGTAATGGGTGTACTGTGTGTGTATTTTACTTTTTATCGATTTTAATGCCTAGTTCTATTGCTAACGTAATAGTATATGCTAGTGTAAACTTGTTACCTGGCATTTACAGTGGACCCCTGGTTAACGATATTTTTTCATTCCAGAAGTATGTTCAGGTGCCAGTACTGACCGAATTTTAGAGTGAAATCTGAACTGTCATATCTGCATGCCTCTGGCAAGACAGTGACAGTATGAATGATGTTTAAAGTGTTTCTTAATCACATCACCCTGCCTCAGTGGGAGATAGTCAACATTTAAATAATAATAATATTAATGAAGATTTATTAGCTCAATAAAAATATTATCAAGGAATCACAAAAAAATAGTCACTTGTTTTAATTAGTTTCCTGTCATACACACACACATATTTCTGTTTTAATGAAATCCTGAAAGATTACAATCCCTCGAAGTTTTCATAAACCTTTCCATTCTAAAAGTTTACCTTTATTCCTTCTTCTTTTATGACCTCCAAGTCTTCCAGTGTTGCATCTTTTTCCGGATCCCTAATTGATCGAAGGGAATCTGATAAAAAAAAATGGCAAAGGTTAAAAAAATTGTAAAATGTTTACATTGTTAATATATTCTATTATTATTATTATTATTATTATTATTATTACTACTACTACTACTACTACTACTACTACTGGGTAATATTATAATTACAGCCTCTCCTCACTTAGCAACATGCTCATTTACCAACAACTCAGATTTATGATGGGCTCTTTGACCAGTATGCAATATACAGTACACTACTGTATAAACTTTTAAAAATATACCAGAAATGTTATAAATGGTGCAAAGGTGACATTAAAACAATATGGAAGATGGTTGACACAAACCCACTACCATTATAGTATGCTCCTTCACTCAGTGACGAATTTGCTTACTGATGTGGTCTTAGGAATGGAACTCTGTTGTCAAGTGAGGAAAGGCTGTATAATACAATTATCTAAACTCTTAATGTAACTAGTATTCTGAGGTAGTACAAATACTTGAAAACTGAAGAATGTAGAATAATAAAGAAATACAATGAATACTATGAAAAATAAATTTAATACAGTACAAATGAATAGTGATGGACAATTATGCAATGTGACTAAAACTGCTTACTAAAGCAATAACAAAACTAATTACTGTATGATAAAGTAACTTAAATTACAATATGAGGATGTTAATTGCACTTATGAGGTGGATAGTTACTAATAGTAAGGTAGTAATATTAAGTAATCTGAGGTGGTATAAATTCTTGAGAATCAGAGAATGAAGAATAATAAGAAATACACTAAGAATAATGACAAGTGAAATTTCATACAATACAAATATGTAAATTGTGAATGATAATGAAAAGTAATGAGAAATGACTGCTATAAGAAATAAAAAAGTATGAATTTTTAGAATTAATTATGGAAGTTTATGCAAATAATTTGTGGCTTAGTAATCTGGATATAAGAGTACACAAGTAAAGTAAAAGGACACAAGTGTAACTAATGTGACATTTTATTGTGGCAACGTTTCGCTCTCCAGGAGCTTTATCAAGCCATTACAAACAATACATGGACACAGAGGGTATATAAAGGCTCAGAGTGAGGTGCAATACTAGTGAGGTACCATTTCGATGTTCACTAGTGGTGGTAGTAGTAGTAGTAGTAGTAGTGACAAAAGTAATGCAATATGGTAGAGCAATTAATTCGTACATGAATGAAAGGATATAAAAGCTATTACTTGGGTAACATAAAAATAGGTTGGACAAATATAGACTGGAAAGAGGCAGGTTGTTTCAGTGTTCACTCTATAATGTGCTTTGTGTAGTATAACAGGAGAGACTATATGATGGCAGGGTTTACTGTTTTCAGGAGGATTCTTGCTAAGACTTCGGAGATGGTGAAGCTGCTGTTGTTTTGTTTAATTGTATTCGAAACAGCGATCAGTGCTGATTCGAGGCACTTGCGTCTGCGGAAATTAGTTTCTTTGATCACTGAATTTCATGAGATGATTGGTGGAATTTTGGTGTTGTACACAGGCGTTATTCAAGTTATCGTTCCTACATGCGTAAATGTGTTCATTGAGGTGGGTGTCGAGGTTTCTTGCTGTTTCACCTCCGTAAATCTTGTCACAGCCTCCACAGCATATAGTGTAAACTCCTGCATTGACTGGTTCGTGGTGCTTGGATTTTGTCCTGGTTAGATCCTTTATTGAAGTGCTAGAAGCGATGGCGACTCTGGTGTTAGCTTGTGAAAGTACTTTTGAGACGTTCAGTGCAACCTGGCTGTTAGGAAGAATTATAACTTTGTTGGGAGTGGTGTTGATGCGTGGAGAATTAATGATCTGAAGAGCTCTTTTCTTGCAGTCTATGATGAAAAAAGAAGGAAAATGTAACTCAGTGAATGTTTGGTGAATGTATGTACATTCCTCATCAAGAAACTCAGGACTACAAATTCGGTATGCTCTTAGGAAAAACCCGATGATGATGCCTCTTTTGGTCTTGGTATCTTGAATGGAATAGAAGTGTGTGAGATCATTTTTATTGGTGGGTTTCCGATAAACTTGAAATCTTAGGTTGTTGTCTACTTTGTGAATGAGGACGTCGAGGAAAGGTAGCTTGTCATTGGACTCTTCTTCTAGTGTAAACTGGATCGCCGGTTCAACTGCGTTGAGCCTTGCCTGAAGATTCCGTACATCAAAACGTTTGGGAGTTATTACGAGGATGTCGTCCACGTAACGTAACCAAGTGACGCTTGAAGGGATGATGTTGGCGAAGTGTTTGGACTCTAGGTGTTCCATGTATAAGTTGGCTAGGACGGCACTGATGGGGGACCCCAGTCCCATGCCGTAGGTTTGTTTGTAGAGCTTGTTATTGAAAGAAAAACAGTTGAAATTAACACAGAGTTCAATCACGTCAACAAAATCTCCGGGAGGTAGAGGAAGATTAAGGTCCTGATTGACTTTACGCCGTAGAACCTCGATGGCTTTTTTGGTAGGTACTTTTGTGAAGAGGGAAGTCACATCCAAACTGCTTAGTTTCTTGTTACAGAAATAAAAAGAAAACAAACAAAAACTAGATATAAAATTTAACATCAGACTTTGCATTAAAAAGAAAATTTATTGAATCAACAGTTATTAGTACAATGGAACCTTAGTTTTCATTTGCCCTGGTTCATCACCTCGGTTTTCGTCCACCGTACCAAATGTGTCCGTCTGCCAACGCCCACACAAAGCATCCCACGCACGCATTCTGAGTCAGTCTTTGTTTCTCATCGAGTGAACATTTCCCTGCACAGTCATATGAAACATTTCGTAATAATCCATTGTTTTTTTGTGCTTGTTCACTGACTGCAACTGCTAAATAAGCCATCACGGGGCCAACAAAAGTTCCAAGTGTCAGCCCTCTGATACAGAGGTAGAGGGTGGTGGTAGGGGGTGGTAGTGGTTGTGATGGTGGTAGAGGGTGGTAGAGATAACCTCTCCTCCCTCTCCCCTCCTCGCCATCTTCTATATGCCAACAAGAGTCTTCAATAAAGGTGAAAGTTATTTAAATGTTCATTTATCCATTTCATTATTGCTTTATATTTATTTCTCATTGTTTTCTGTATGTAAAACTATAGTTATTCTCTATAAAATGTACTTTTTTGTTAATATTTTTGGGCATCTGGAACGGATTAATTAGATTTAGATTATTTCTTAGGGGAAATATTGCTTCAGTTTTCGTTGAATTCAGTTTTCATCAGACTCTCTGGAATGAATTAACGACGAAAACCAAGGTTCCACTGTACTGTACAAAAGAATAATTTTTATTGGAATTGCCCTTAAGTATATTTGAAACACAAAGGAAAAATTGTTAGATAAGCATGGGTTATTATCACCAATTCAATGAAATTAAGCTGAATTGTGGTAACAGTGCTATTGGTTAATGAGAACCAGAGTTGATTTTAGCCTAACTAAATCACTACAACAGGTCAATAAATACAAGGGAGTAAAACTTACAAACTATGAAATATGTAGTAAGTATGGAGTAATTAGTATTTTATGAGAATTAAGAAATCAAATCATAAAACAATGATAAACTGCTATTAATTGAGGGTGCATAAGACTGTGTGTGGAGTTTAGCAGGTACATACTACCTTTTGTTCTGACTCAGACAGGCCAGCATATATAAGAATATTCCTAGATCCTGATCATTAGCTGTGTAATATCTCCTACTTGTGACTGATTTTCTTACAACCATTTTACCTTCACTCACAAAACAGTTAGATTTTTTCTCCAGGCAGTTCCCTTAGCTTATAAAGAAGGTTCTGTCTTTCTTTGTGGTGTACCCTTTCACTGTCCAGACACAAGAAATTAATATTGCTTTCAGAGTCCACTTTTAAAAAAATTCTGAAACAGTAGAGAATCTTTTTCTGAAGATAATGACACTAAAAGTATCAAATTTAATGGAAAACTTACAGAATTATGCATACCCTTAAGTTAGCGGTAACGGTGCAATTTATGCATCTGTGATTTCACCCACTTTGAGCCATGCTTTAAGCCAATTCTATTCTCCAAATTCTTAGCTGTTTACTAAAATGCCTTCTGTTTTATTGACTGAGCACAAAAAATTGCCCATTCAAGTATTACAACTACACTATAAAGTACACACAAACTGACAATTTGGCCAATTTTACAAAAAATTTAAAAAATTTATTTAAAAATGAGTCCAAAATAAACAGTGTAGACATTCCTGGCACAAACATTTTCTCTGTTCATTAGTCATGTCCCCAGGCTTCTGCTATATTACACTTGCCTTCCATGTTGAATTCTTAATTACACAAAAATAAAAGATTTACTTTATTTCCCAGATAATAAAATATAACCAGGAATGATTGGTCATGGTTTAGTGTCCCAATAATTGTATAAAACCTATTAAAAGCTCATAAACCAAACTGGGGAGGTGTAGGAAAGTGTTACTAATCCTCAGGAAATTCAATAAACAAAATATTTCTGCTACTTTGAACTCAATTTCAAGCTACTTCTGGTCCTTAAACCAACCAAAATAATCTCTACTGCAGTAATATGTCTTCCATTATACCAATTGATACCAAATAACAGCTAATAAAACCATAAAAACCATCTGAGAAAATACCTCAAAGTTGCTATTTTAAACTATTCATAGTCAGTTTTCCTTTTCCCATCACACACCACATAGGGCAGAATTTTTTTTTATACTGTGCACACTCGTCGCACAGACCCTTTCTCTCATATCTAGGTCAAAATTTACTGCTCACAGCTTATCTGAGTGAGCTGAGCTCATGATGTAGCACAACATGAGGGACCCTGATCTCAATGACATAGTTCTACATGATGGCCACTAAAAGGGTTAAACAGACTTTGACTTTTATTCTTATGGATGATTGAAATAGGCCATTTCTTCTCTAAACTCATACTATACTGTATCTCAGTACAGTATGAGTCTAGTACTCTATTTCAAATTCCCTTCAAAATCTTAAATTTTTTATGTAAATATCCATTAATTCACTATTAAAAGGATATTACCAATGGATAAATCTTTCTTACCAAAAACAGCAGCTGCTACATCCTTCAGTTCAGCATCTGTAGACATGATGTTTGCAGCCATTTGCCACACCTAAGAATAAATTACACAATACATCAATGATCCTATGAACTGCAACATTTCCTACCATCCTTAAAAGTTCAGGTGCTGTATGTCTCCCCTCATGAATTCAAATCTGGCTAGGCAAGAAAACTGCCATCAGCACATATATCACACATCATTAACATAACAAAAGAACAGTAGGCAATTCAAGATATTTCTTTGTGGAACTCTACATGTTATCTACAAAGGATCTGATTCAGTACTGTTAACTTCAACAACTGATTTCCTGTTTGACATAAGCTGTCTAAAGAGCCTAGACAAGAAACAGATATGAACAATACAGATCAGGCTTAGTAACTAAATAACAAACCAGAATCTATACATATATACTTGCCAAACTAATGAGGAAGTCTAAACGGCCATACCAGTGGCCCCTGCTTTACAGTGCTTCGCGTTACACTAATGCAGTGGGTTTCAATTATACCCATTCCTCATTTATTCAGACTTCCTACAATAAATATATTCACCATTCGCTATAAGCTAAAAAAAAAAAAAAGGATGAAAATATTTTAAGTAATGAGTGTACTGTACACTATATGCATTTTTTAGGCCTAGCAATATTGCTCACTTAATATATGATAGTGTAAACATGTTATCTGGCTTTTATATGCATTTCAAAGTGAAAAAAAAGAGAGATTGTTTCACTTTACAGCAATTTTTGCCTTACAGCAGTAGCCCAGAATCTAACATGCTGTATAACTGAAGACCTCCTGTATTACTCTAGCATAGTCAATCACATAAGAGGTGAGATGAAAAAGACCTGAAACAGTTTCAAATCCTGGGTTATCGGTAGACTAAAACCAGTGATATTGCCCTTAATAAATCTAATGAACCAATCTCCAGCCTGTAGATACAGCCAATAAGTTAAATGATTTTTTCTCTACCATCCAAACAAAACAAACAAAGTTTATTTCTTTGCAAGGGTTACAATGTGTGTTTACATTTCATAATTTGATTGGTACAAAGAAAGCCACTATCATGCCGCGGCATTTCAGGCAGACTTAACCTAATACTTAAAGACTACTTAAGTCTAGACAGGTAAAGAGTGGTAAATTTCAAATATTCAATACATATTCTACTCTATTATTAATATGTTTACCTGGAGAGGGTTTTGGGGATCAACGGCCCCATGGTTCAGTCTGAGACCAGGCCTCATGGTAGATCAGGGTCTGATCAACCAGGCTGTTACTGCTGGCCACATGCAAACTGATGTACGAACCATAGCCTGGTTGGCCAGGTACTGACTTTAGGTGCCTGTCCAGTGCCTTCTTGAAGACAGACAGGGGTTTATTGGTAATCCCCCTTATGTATTGGGGGGAGGCAGTTCAACAGTCTTGGGCCCCCGCCACTTATTGTGTTGTCTCTCAGTGTACTCGTGGCACCCCTGCTTTTCATTGGGGGAATGTTGCATCTCCTGCCGAGTCTTTTGCTTTCACAGGGAGTGATTTTCGTGTGCAAGTTTGGCACTAATCCCTCTAGGATTTTCCAATCTCTCTCTCGCCTGTATTCCAGGGAATACAAACCAAGGGCCTTCAACTGTTCCCAGTAATTTAGGTGCCTTATCATACTTATGTGTGCCATGAAAGTTCTTTGTACATTCTCCATGTCAGCAATTTTGCCTGCCTTGAAGGGGGCAGTTAGTGTACAGCAGTAATCCAGCCTAGAAAGAACAAACAATTTGAAGAGAATCATCATGGGTGTGGCATCCCTAGTTTTGAAGGTTCTCATTATCCATCCTATCATTTTACTAGCAGATGCAGCAGATACATTGTTGTAGTCTTTAAAGCCAAGATCCTTTGACATTATCACTCCCAGGTCCTTCACACTACTTTTTATTCTATTGTATGGTTAGAATTTGTCGTATACCCTCATACAGTTTTAATTTCCTCAGGTTTTCCGTATCTGAGCAGCTGAAATTTCTCTTCACTGAACTTCATATTGTTTGGAGTGGCCCATTTGAAGATTTGGTTGATGTTCACTTGGAGTTTTGCGGTGTCTTCGGTGGAGGTCACCGTCATGGTAATCCAGGTGTCATCCACAAAGGAAGACACGGAGTTATGGCTTACAGCTCTATATCAGATATGAGGAAGAGGAATAGAATGGGAGCAAGTACTGTGCCTTGTGGAACAGAGCTTTTCACTATAGCTGCTTCAGACTTTACTGTTTACTATTACTCTTTGTGTTCTATTTGTTAGGAAGTTATAGATCCATCTACCAACTTTTCCTCTTATTCCTTTATCAAGCAATTTGTGTGCTATTACACCGTGGTCACATTTGCCAAATGCTTTTGCAAAGTCTGCATATACATCTATATTTTGTTTATCCTCTACAACATACAGGACCTTGTCATAGTGGACCAGTAGCTGGGACAGGCAGGAGCAACCTGCTCTAAACCCGTGTTGCCCAGGGCTGTGTACGTGTATTATTATTATTATAATCAAAAAGAAGTGCTAAGCCACAAGGGCTACACAGCACTGCAGGGTGGGGAAGGAAGCGAGGGTATTGGGCGGCAGAAGGGGGGAGGGATGATCAGTAGGTTGCAGAAAACAGCGGGGCAGGGGATAGTGCAGGGGTAGAGGGTAGCAAGAGATTGAGGTAGAAAGGTGCTGAAGGTATCAGAGTTTGTGAAGTAAGTCAGTTGTTGTCAAAAAGTCAATGAGAGAGTCCGGATGAAAGGTGGGTCAATCAGCGAGAAGGGAAGATAAAGAGAGAGCAGCGGAGCGAAGATGACGACGGAGGTAAATTCTGCATGCTCGTTGATAAAGTGGGCAGTCTAACAATGTGGCTGACTGATGATGGAACCTGACAGTTCTCACAGAGAGGAGCAGGGCACCTCTCCATGAGATATCCATGAGTAAGACGAGTATGGCCAATGCGAAGACGGGAGAGAGTAGTCTCCCAACCTCGACACTGGTGACAAGAAGACGGCCAGTAACCTATACTCGGTTTAATAGATTGAAGTTTGTTACCGAGCAGAGTAGACCAACGTTGTTGCCAACGGGTGTGAAGGTGGGTAGCTATTGCAGCAAAATAGTCCATAAATGGAATACCTCTACACAATACACAATACCTATATGAATACCTCTATATGAAACTGGTAGGTCATGTACTGCTGACCGCGCAGCAGTGTCTGCCTGTTCATTGCCCTGTACGTCAACATGACCAGGGACCCAACAAAAAACAATATCTTCATGCTTGGTAAAGATGCGGTGTAGCCAAAGTTGGATACAGAGGACTAAGGGGTGAGGTGTATCAAATTTCTGTATAGCCTGTAAAGCACTAAGGGAGTCTGAGACAACCACAAATGATGACACAGGCATAGATGCAATACGGATAAGTGCTGCAAGAATGGCATACAATTCAGCAGTAAAAATACTAGCCGAAGATATTAAATGCCCTTGTATGACGCTGTCTGGAAACAATGCTGCAAATCCTACTCCGTCAGAAGACTTAGAGCCATCTCTGTACACTGCAATGGCATGAGAATGAGAGTGGAAGTGGTCAAGAAAAAGAGAGCGGGAAGCGACCGTACACAGTTGGGCTTTCGAGAAAGGGAGAGAGAAAGAACAGACTCGAACAGCTGGAACTTCCCGGGGGGTAGGGAAAAGTGAGATGCTACATTAACATAGAAAGGTGGTAATTGAAGAGAAGACAAGAGCGAATGTAGGCGAAGAGAGAAGGGACAGAGTAAACAGGGGTGGCGAACAAATAAAGAATGTCTACTAATATCAGTGACCATTCTATAAATGGAAGGATTGCGGAGATCATGAGAGCATACATAGTAGCGAAGGCAATGGGCATCACGGCGATCGGATAAGGATGGAACGTTCGCTTCTGCATAGAGGCTCTCAACAGGAGAAGAGCGAAAAGCACCAAGGCATAAACATAATCCTTGGTGATGAATGGGGTTAAGGCTAGAGAGAGTAGCAGGAGAGGCCGCTGAATAGATCTCGTCACCATAATCAAGTTTCGATAAAATGAGGGTGGAATGTAGGAGAAGGAGAGTTCGACGATCAACTCCCCATGAAAGATGAGCAAGGGTTTTAAGAAGGTTCAGTCGGCTGTGACAAGTTACCTTCAGAGAGGTAATGTGAGGTTTCCAGGATAACCTACAGTCAAAGAGGAGGCCCAGAAACCTGACTGTATCACGTTCAGGGATACAGGAGCCATAGAGGTACAAAGGATGATCGGAGATGACAGAGCATCTAGTGAAACTAATTTGGTGAGTTTTGGTACTGGAAAATTTAAACCCATGTGTGGTGGCCCAATTGGAAACACGGTCGACCGCATGCTGGAGAGAAACTGTAATGAGGTGACAGTCAGCGCCTGCACAGGCAATAGCAAAGTCATAAACATAGAGTGATGACCAAATATTTGATGGAAGACTAGAGGCCAAATCATTTATAGCAAGGAGAAAAAGTGTTGGGCTCAGAACACATCCCTGGGGGACACCTTCAGCTTGGATAAAGTCCGGGGATAGCACATTATTAACTTGAACACGGAAATGTCTGTCAGTTAAAAAGTTCTTAAGGAAGGATGGTAGATTGCCTCGGAGGCCTAAGGAGTGGGCTTGGGCCAAAATATTATACTTCCAAGTTGTGTCATATGCCTTCTCAAGGTCAAAAAAAAATGGCAATAACTGAGTGGTCATTCACAAAGGCATTACGAACATACGTATCCAAGCGTAGTAAGGGGTCTATGGTAGAACGGCCTTACGAAAGCCATATTGACGAGTGGAGAGACTGTTGTGTGTCTCTAAATACCACACTAAACGTCTATTTACTAGGCGTTCCATCACTTTGTAAACTGCACTGGTAAGAGCAATGGGACAATAGTGGGAGGCTTCATGTCCCGTATTACCCGGTTTGTGGAAAGGGAGAACAATGGCAGATTTCCACAGCTGTGGAAGAACTCCTTGTGACCAAATAAGATTGAAAAGGCATAATAGGACTGCAAGG